ATCGAAGTCTTCCGTGCCTTCTCGCTCGAAGAGCACTCACAGTCACAGTCTCGACCAGCAGGTTCATCTGCTGTTGGTACCCGCTCGAGGATGCTGTTGACGTGGTCGTTGTGGTGGTCATCGTCACTGTCTTGGGCTCCTGCAAGGGGTGCTTGGAGGCCGCTGTCTTCTCCTCTGGAACCATTTCGCGTTGATCCTGATCGTTGAGCCAGCGACTGAAGCGGATGAGGCGTGGATCGGCATTCGCGGCATTGGTCTTCGCCGTGTGTACCACCCACCGACAGTAGCTGGGATCGATGCGGGCCGTCTCGGCATAGGTTTGGGGGCCGTAGCGGCCGAAGGACACCGGATCGGAGCCGTCGGGCTCCGGCAGCATCATGATCTTCTTCATCGCCTCCATCTCGATGCGTGCCTTGGTGTACGAGTCGAGGTTGGTCATCACGAGCTCTCGCTCGCACCAGTTGATGAACTCTGTCTTGCGCTTCTCCTTGTTCTTGTTGAGCTCCTTCACCAACACAGACATCTCGGAAACCTTCTTGTTGCGCCCCTTGGTGGACACACTCATGTCCTGGCCGGTGAGTTCCTCCAACCGATACTTCAGCTGGATCTTCGTCCAACTGGTGGGCGGATGCTCCCCCAGCTTCTCGAGCTCCTGGCGCAGTTCGGACTTCTTGAGATCCGACATGATCAACACCAAGTGCGGATGCTGTTGGAGCGGTAGGCGCTGTAGTCGAGCTGGAACACGAGTTGGCTGCGGCGTGATGTGTAACACGCGGCTGTACATGAAAGGTCTCAATGGCACTGTTGGGGAAACTCTTCACACCTACACTCCTACTTGATGCTATCGTACAACCCGATTCAGTTGTAGCAAACCCCTGTCTTGAAGACTGCGCCATGTGCGCAGAGGTGACCTCCCTTTTTCCGTCAAGACTCGGATCAGGGAGGAGCTGTCCCTACTCATCACAAAACTCTGGCAAGGACGCATGTGTGCTTGCGTCCTGCCCAGCCTCGCTTGCATTGAAGGCTGTCTTCGTCTCATCGCTACGAATATAAGAACTGAGGCTAGGGACCGCTTGGGCAGCTGGCTGTGACCGGGCCATGATGTCACCTGTCAAGGGCAACAACAAGTGGCCGGTGCTGGATTCTTCCAGCTGCACAATGCGTGTGGCATCTATACCTCGCAGCACCATGGTGCCGTCGGAAAAATCGAGCAAGGCCTTCAAGGACTCAAGGACTTGAGAGTGTCGATGGACAAGAGGATTGGCGTGGCGCCGCGATCCAGCACGTGCACCTTCAAGACGCCTGGTCGTCCCCCGGCATCCAGATTCAAATGCACTGTTGATAGGCACTTGTCCTCAGTCGAATTCCCAAATCCAAAGGTAGGGGTGTCCGCTGTGTCCACCTTGTGAACCCCGTTGCGGCTGAGCTGAATCACTCTCTCGAGGGCTTGCACCGAGCCCAAGGACTTTGTGGCCCCGCAGTCGATAATCCCCTTACCGTCCTGCGTGGCCTCTGCTGTGGTCTGCTTGTAGTCCTCGTGTTCCTGGGCATGTAAGGCTGTTGCTTCCACGTAGCACACGAAGGGGGCGGATTCCTTGGGTCGCGATGAGCTGGAGGAGGCTCCGTTGGGACAGACGGCAGCTCTGTGTCCCTTCTTTCCACACTTCAAACAGGTCATGTGCTCATCACGATTGGTGGAAGAAGTCGAGGTGGCCGCTGGGCCACTGTGGGAGCGGAAGCCTTTGTTGCTTCCGCCACGGTAGTACTGCCGGTTCTGTCGCACCTCCTTCTGGCGCTCTCGAGCGCCCTGCAAGGTGCGCCTGGCTTGTCCCATCACCGCCAAAGCTTCCTGCACCTCAGTCTCAGCCTCCGACCACAGGGCTTGCCCCTCCTCATTCAGCTCCTCTTCGGCCATGAATGAAGCTTCTGTGCCATGTAGGTCTCCGGCTGTGTCGTCATCAGTATCCTCATCGAGTCGCTCTCCAAGAAATCCTTGGTGCCTCCTTGTGCCCTCTCGGCGACGGATGTCCTGATCAGGGAAGTGGTTGCGCATCTCCTGCGCAACTCGTTGCAAGCTCATGTCGCCGCGGGCGGCGATGAGGATGGTGTTTCGCTCGTTGGCTTCTATATTGGCGTCTTGCAACAACATCCATGCTTGCACGAACTCTGGAACCAGCTCTGGCAGGGTAGTTCTTGCTGTCGAGGTGGTGTAACCCTGACCCCATGAGCTGGAGGAGTAGCCCCAGTAGTCCGAAGAGCTCCACCAATCGTCATCCCAAGACCAGGAAGGCCAGCCCCAGCTCCCTTCGCGACGCCACCAGTCGCGTGGTTGATCATCTGAGCCTCGTTCCGCGGGCTCTGTGGGAGCTGTTGGAGCTGCGGCGTGGGTATCGGCATTCTCCGATCCCTCTGTGGGGACCTCACTGGTCCCTGACTCCACACTCTGTCGCCTCCCCGATGTTGCCCAGGACCTCCAGCCTCCAGAGTCCTGAGGTATCGCCGAGGTTCTCTGATGTTCGTCGTGGTGCGGCCGCACCCTACTCATAGCTTGTTGAGCTCGGACATACAACTCACACTTCCTCGTGATATACTCACCCATAGCCTCGCCAGATCTGCGCTTCGAGTTCTTGAAGTACTTGCTCAGCAGGTCTGTAAGTTCTGGCATCTGCGGCTTGCCAAGGCATTGCCGCAGATGCTGGAGCAGCGTCTGCACTCCTCCAGGAAAGGAGAGCCGCTCTGGTGGCTGTCCCACGATCAGGCGCTGAGCTGCGCCTGTGAGCTCACTCTGTAACTGTGGCCCTGTGAGATATCGCTTGTGATAGGGAGTTGTCTGTTCGTAGAGGAGGGCAGCTTCATAGTAAGCCTGAAAGGATTCAGCTGCCCCATTCCAAATGGGGACCCCGTCCTTGCTCTTGTTAGCGCTACCGCTGACTTCCTGAGACGTCATGCAGCTGTCGCCCGGATCTGACCGGGAGGAATACTGCTGGTCAGCTACGGCCCCTGGATCGATGTTCACTGGAACTCAAAAGAGCTCCGCTACCATGCAGGCGTCAGCCTGCAGTAGCGCTCTGAATCTCAAGCTCTGCTTTTCTGTAACCCGGAAAGATTGCCACCGAACGGCCTGGATAATCAAGGCAGGTATGGCTCGCAATGTCTTTCTTTTCCCCTGGGCCCTTGAGAACGTAAGCTGAGTGCGCATGCTTTGACAAGCGGGAACAGCCAAGAACGCAGATTCTTGCAACCCTGACACCTTTAAGCTGCAGTTCAGAGTTTAGGGTTTAGGGTTTAGGCTACAGCCCCCGAAGCCATGATCTAGGCAAGCCTTGCTCAAGTCTATTGGGCGCGAACTCGGCAACGCCTTCGTTATGGCACAGGCTCAGCATGGGATTGGGAGGAGCAAACGTGGATTCTGCACTCCAGGCAATACTCCTACAGCATAAATGCAGCATAAACATATATATATATAATATGTATATGTGTAAGCAAATGTATGTCTATGTCTCTGTCTCTCTCTGTCTATGTATATACGTGCTGACTGCTAGAATGGGGCCAGGCCGAGTATTGCATGGAGATGGCTTCCTTTTGTGGTCGAAGATGGGCTATTTTGCGCAATGCTTGCAGGTGTCGCAATTTGTGCTTGAGCTGCTCAGATATCTCTTGACAGCCTTCATAGGTTGCACTGAATGCTGCAGGGCTTTCCGACATTGGCTCTTACAGTTTTGCATCTGCTGTTTTTTGGTTTGTTTGTTTTTCTTTTGGTCTGGAGACGTGGGGGGGTGCCGGGGGGTGCGAGGGGGTGCAGGGGTGGGGGAGGGGCCTGGATCAGCCAGTCCGTGCTCGTCTCTTGGCGAGAGCTCCTCGACTCCTCGAACTTACTCAAGATTCAAGAGGCTCTCAACTCCTCTGCATGTCCCCCCGCAGATCAGGGGACTTAGTACGCTCAGTTACAAGTGCTTAACTTGCGGCAAGCGGTTCTAAGCTTATGCGTCCACGTACCAATTGCCACATGTACACTTGGGCTTTGGACTAAGGTGATTCTGATGCACAGGCGGAAAACCGAACTCTGGCCTACACAACAAAATCATGTATGAAAAAGCGTAGTTACATATAAATAGCATGAGAATTAACTTGACAATGACAATAGCAATAATGGTAATATCAACATTGCTGTGTAATCATACCAGTGGTGGCAATAATAGTAGTAGGAATAGTAGTAGTCTTAGTCATAGTCATGGCCATAGTCATAGTCATAGTAGAGTAATCGTGGTAGTAATCGTAATCGTATTAATGGTAATAGTACTAGCAACAATAGCCACAATACAGTTAAGCAATCACATACTGTAGTCTGTATAAAGCATATCAGAAAACAATATAGCAGAATAGCACATAACATAATATAAATGAATATAACATGATTTAACACAATTTACAATGCAGCATCATATAATTAGTTCTGTATGTAGAACTAGTACAGTACAGTGTAGTATAGTATAGTATAGTATAGTATAGTATAGTATAGTATAGCATATATATATATATTCTATGTATGTATATCTATACACATATAATATGTGTACACATACATGCACAAATAGATGTTTGCACGCATGCGCGCGTATGTCATTTTGCGCATGTGTGTGTCATACATACATTCGTACATGCATGCATGCACATACATACAGACAGACAGACAGGCAGGCAGGCAGGCAGGCAGGCAGGCAGACAGACATACATAAATACGTGTATACGCACATACATTCATGTGCACATAGCATGCCAGTCAATAGTCAAGAGTGCACAGACAGGTCGAGATGGACAGTTTCGAAGGCTGCATGTCGACTGCCTCGGCATGGCCACAGGAAGCGGAACTTGACACCGTGCAAGAGTGAGAACTGTGGCTCGAATGACACAAAACGACAGTGCGACAGGGATAGTCAACGGGTGCTGGGGTGGCAGGGCAGCCAGGAGAAGTAGGGGGAAGGACTGGGACAAAGAGGGACATGCTGGCCACGTACCAGCCCAGCGCACCACGAACACACAGCGCCACTGCCGCTGATTTCTTGCCAAGGTCCGAGTGCGACTGGGCTATCCCCAGGTTCGGGGAGTTGGACGAAGTGCTTGCAGGGCGTGTCTTGGGCAGCTACATGTCGGGTACAACTACACACGTTCATGATCCTCAGCTTCAAGCTGTTCTTGCGGCTCCTGCAGCAATGGTTGCGACAACCTCCGCTCATCAATATCCAGAGCTGCCGCTGTTGGCATGCACTTTCTCTCTAGGTGCTGCTGTTGCGGTAGTGGCTTCGCGGCTGGTGAACCACCGGCGGAGAGCCATATCTGTCAAAGCGGAGCCGCTTCTAGGTTAATCTTAGATAGCGATGAAGAGCTTGCAGAAAAAGGCGGTCTTGGCGTTTCGGGGCAGTGAGGCGCGGCATGTTCCGCCTGCGCACCGTGAGTTCTCAGCCTAATTTCCGTGCCCGCCGTTGCCAGATCCAAGCCGTCGCGCCTGAGGCATACTCGCCGTGGCCTTTCTTGCATTTTGTCGAAGCTAGCCTGTACATACCGTTGAGCTTGCTGTTCTGTAAGCCATTCAGGCAGCTGCGACATTTTGGATTCCACCCTTGAGGCCCGCATGTCAAAAACCGGATGTCCGGAATATCAAAGTTGAGATAATCTACAGGTTGTGATCTGTGACAGCTTACGAGCAGGAGCCTTTGACATACTACAAGTCGCTGGAACCTATCAAACCTCACTGGCCGCGTTCCTGGCGCAGGTTCGTCGTTTAAGCGTCCAGTGGTAGTGCAGAAGAAGCTGCCGCCATGAGTCTGACAGGCTGCATTTGGTTGATGGCATTCGGGTCAGAGACATGGCGCGGTGCTAAGTCTAAGTGTCCCGACGGTGCGCAATCCTGTGCGTGCTTACCAGGACACCGTGGTGGTTTCCTCTCGCAATAGCCTCTCCAAGACGAAGAAGGGCTTGCTGAGGTGTGGTTCTTAGTGGTGCAGCGGAGCTGCCATCTCTGCCCCTGGCAGAAGAAGGTCCTCCAGTGGAACAGTGACGTACTCCAGCACCCATCGCCTCAAGGACGGTTCGGCAAGATTCGATGAAGTCGTAGCGAGAGAGGGTGCCTGCAGGTTGACTTGGATGCACAAGAGATCGCCTACATCCTAGGTGATGGAGTGCCAGGCCTGGCAGCCCGTGGATGCACGGAAGGGTGGTGCGGTCGCTTTTTCTCCGCTGTGCACTCGTCTCATTAAAACCGGTTCGGCCCCTGGAAGTGGGTGGGAAAAGCAGGAGGGCCGGAGCCAGCATGCAGTTCCGCGGTCACGTGGTGACAAACTTGCTCTCTGCACCACAGTTTTGGCGCAAGGAGTCGACACCGGACTTGGGCCATGACCGGGTTGTCTTGCAGAGAGTCTTGTTGCAAAAATACTGGTCTTGGCAGCGAACCTGGTGGGACACCTTGTCTGGTAAAAAAAAGATGCCGGCTAGGAATCCATTCAAGAGCATGACAAACCCTACTGGCTCTAGTGCAGTTTTCTTCATATATGAGCAGAATGGGTTTATCATTTCTGACAGTTTGCATTCATGGTATCACACCAGTTGAAAGTTGCAGGGCTGCTGCTGCTTGTAAGTGTTTGGCAGGCGGTGGTCATGCCTGGACACCCTCCAGGCGGCAAAGTCTTTACCTGGTTCGGTCAGCCAGTTTTTGATAGTTTACCCCTGGAAGAGCCATGCCCGAAGCGAGACATTGCTGGCCTTTGTGAGATGTTTCTGGAGTTTCATTGGCACCTATAGACCCTCATTGCTTAACTGTTCTGACAAAGCAGCCTCCATGGAGGGTAATGCCTTCATGTCTTGCCAGGGTTTGCAGAGAGTACGGCTGAGCATTGGTTCCGGCAAGGCTGGCTGTCGAATTCAAAACACGCACTGGCAGACCTGGCGTGTGGATGCACTACGACGTCAGCCAGCCTTGTTTGAACGCGGTCCAGACTTTTTCGCGCGCCCTGGTCGCGCCCTGTGCCGTTGCAAGATTGGGTTGTCGTCCTTCCTCCTCCTGTTTCCGAAGACGTTCGAAGTGCTGCACGGCTGGAGTTTGATGCAGATCGGTTTGTTCATATCCTTGCGAGATCGCGCGTCACTGAAATGATTTGAAATGCTGCGAGTGGCGATTTGTTGCGAGGTTCGGACCGGCGAACGAGTTTGTGCGCCTTGTGCGGAAGAACTGCCGGACTCTCCTTGACAACGTGGAGGCTGCCCTTGCACCTACCGACATCTTGCCAGAAGCCATCGCAGCATGTCAATGTCGGCCAGGATGCGATGGTGCGCTTGGCTATGGGCCGCGAGGAATCATCATACTCAATGCCCAGCGAGTCTTGCTTCCGGAAGTGCTTGTCATGCTGAAGAGGACGGACGGATCCACTACAACATAGCTGACAGCGCGTCCCAGGATCCAGAAGACAAGGCTAGAGCAGCTTCAGAGCTCAAAAGTCATAGCTCAGTGTGCGTGCAGTGGGATCCATCCCTCCTGGCCAGTGGGTGAAGCACATGAATGACCTGAGCTTCGCCAGCGCCAGTCCCAAGGTGGGCGAAAGAACAGAGCCCGGCCAAAGGGAGCCCAGCAAAGTGTCACAGAAGGCTCACATTCTACCTCGCCTGACCACTCACCGACTAAAAGCTCTGGCCTAAGAGGATCCCTGGAACCTGAGCCACCCTGGAACCGTTGAGGTAAAAACCCCTTGGACCAGTGATTCTCTGCTCTAAGGCGGCGTACATAAAGTCGAACGACTCGGCGGTGGCTCCGGAGAGGTGCCATCACACGCCGCTTCCATCATTTCCTTCTTGCCTCTCGACGTCGGGCATTCTGTGTTGTTCTGTTGAACGTTGGCACTTCACTTGTCCCGTGACAGAAGCACTCGTCCGCAACGGCTCATGTACTTCCTTTTGAGACTTCTGCTGCAGATGTCTGCCAGAAGGATTTTGATTCAGACAAAGCAGTAGGCCTGCCCCTCTTCCTGTGTAGTATCTGCGTCGATCTTCGTACTGAGACTGGATATGAATACACATACAATGCAACTTGTGTCAGGAATGTTCTGTCTGAAGCATACGACAGCCATTTTAAGCGATTTTTGACAGTACTGTTCTCGTAGATTGATCATGACTGTGTGACTTTAACCTCAGCGACATACATGCGCACCACATTCACGCTTGCCGTTTTAGAATGTGAACTGATGATGCCTCAGATGCCAGTGCAGGACCTCCAGATCTGACGCTTTAGGCGCATTGGATTCCTTCAGGGAGCTGTTCCAGTCGAATGTTTTTTTCACAGACACTTTCGCATGCTGGGCCTGAACAGGATTCGGCAACCTCTGAGAGACTCTCGCTCCGTTTCACATGCTTAGCACCGTAGGTGCGATGCTGCAGATCGCATGAGTAAACGTCTTGCCTTGCCAGTATGTGCGTCAGGCGGTAGCAGACGTCCCAGGCAGACTGTGACACAAACACATGAGCTGCTCCATCAGGATGTTCGGCGTTCAGAAAGCTGGCTGACTTCACAAAGACCGTGTGAGGAGACACATTGTTTCACCGGTTTAGATATGGTCACAGCACGAGCATCAAGCGCAGACACCCACGGAACCGGAGAGAGGCAAAACATCACTCACAAGATCGGCAATTTGCGGAGTATTCTGCATGTAGCCTTCAACAGCCTTCATACATTCCGTCGCAATGGAGACCGAGCACACCTTAGATTCGACGGCAGTTGCGATGGTCAGATGTTCCAAGCTCATTTCCCAGCATCAGGACACGTTGCCATACGATGGTGATGGAGCAGCATGGGACGTTTGGAAGGCCAGTGTTGTCGCAAGCATAGCCTCAAAGCAGAGCAATGGCTTGCCAGGTGCCAACCTATCAATCTGGTTGCAAGAACCAGACGTTTGAGGCAGGACCTGTTTGTTGTTTGTTCCATTTCACATCGTCGTCTCCTCCTCCTCCTCCTCCACCGCTCTCTCTCTCTCTCTCACACTCGCTCAGGTTAGCTCAAAGCATTCACCCGAGGATGATGCTGTTGCACCGAAACTTTCCGGAAGAAGTTATCCACGTGACTGTGAGACCTGCGTCTTGCGAGTCACCTCGCTAAGCAAAGGACGATACCATACGATACCGTGTGCAACATGGATCCGGAGATGGAAGGTCTAGCCGGTTGCTCAGCCTGCATCGCATTCTTCGTCATGCGTACGGCTGATTGCCCAAGATGCTGGTGCGAGCTTGGCAACGTAGACTCAGCAGACACCTGCGAAAGGTCGTTGATTGAAAATACCGCAAATTCTTGAAAGAATCTTTCGGGAGGATTAGAGCGGAGAAGAAGCCATGCCAGGAACCGCGAGGGTTTCCGGCTGGGCACGGACGCAGTTGTGTACCGCTTTCGGGCGTCCCACCGAGCCCCAAGCAGTTCAATTAGACTCAGACAGTCGCTCAGACTGCTGGCGCCAAGCTCCTCAAGTCATAGTCTTCGTGATGCTTCCAAAAATGATGTGCCTTCTCGTGATATGTTCTCCACCCAGAGGAAGAAGTGACCTGCAATCGCATCGTGCCCTCAAGCACGTGGCCAAACACAGAACATGTGTGGTCTGCTATGAGATGGGGTCTGGACAGGAATGATGCGGGAATTCACAGAAGTACGCTTGGGATCAGGATACCACATGTTCTGACAGACTTGCAAGCCGGGCAACGTCTGGCAGCGCAGGCATAGCCATGGCTGTGTTGTTTTTTCCATAATCAACACACAGGCAACAACACTGCATGAGCAGGTGGACTTGCTTGTTCCGCACATGGCCGGTTGACTTGCCTGGTCCCACCCGGGAAAAACCTGCGGGACGAAAGCGCGAAAGGGCAGGTGACTGCAACAAAGGGTTGGGGCGGACCTGGAACACCGTGTCATACCGTGCCAAATACTGAGCATAGGTTTTGAAAGCCTCCAGGGTTACACCCGCGAGCCCGTACCGAGCGTTGATCGTCGTGGCAGAGCGGCCGGCACATAGATGTTCCTCATGCAAGTATGTTTATCTCGTGAAAGTCAGTCTTTCGAGACAGCTAGGCTGCATCCAGCTTTGAGGTTGGTGATGCCACGCTTGCATATGAAGCAGGCGGTCCAGGCGTGTGCACACGAAAGTGCAACCTGCAACCTTGCATACCTGGGCAGAGACCCGACTGGCCAGGCGAAATACCAGAAGTGAGCACTTTTACTAGCATGCCGCCGCCGGCATTGCAACGTTCCCAAGATGCAGTCTTCAGCAGTACATTGTCACTCGTGCTCGTTGTTGCCGACCGCCAGCTGCATCCAGGTCACCCCCGGCAGCCGTTGCGATTGAGCACGAGGTGCACCACTCCTTCTATGTGGTAGCAGTAGCTGTAGCAAGTGTTGCAGCCTGTGGCCGCGCAGACTGTGCTGCACATCAGGCACCTACCTTGGCGTATGGAGACACGCTCGCTGCGACCCTATTTATTCTGGCCTGCTAGTTTCTGATGCCACAAGTGAATGTCTCCCAAGACAGGTTTTGCAACCGGAAGATGATGCAGATCAGGCAGCGCCAACGGAACCTTGTCCGGAGGCAGTGCCAGAGGCAGTGCCAGAGGCAGTGCCAGAGGCAGTGCCAGCTCCCGCGGAGATTGCGGAGCGGCCCAGTTGTGCATCCAGATCCTGTGAGTCTCCGCAGCCCCTCGAAGTGGCTGGAACGGGTCGACAGACTGAATTGGGTGGACGACTGTCCGCATCGGGTCTTCGACTTCGGCTCTGGCACAAGCAGCCGCCTCCAACAGGAGGGGTCAGCGAGAGCTTCAGCTTGCATACCTTCCCGTCTGCGCTATCAGGATATGTCCCTCCGAGGAGAGCATCTCGAGCAAAACCCAAGGCAAGGCATGTTTGGACCAAGCTGCACCGCAAGGTTCATGTGGTACAGGGCCTTGGAAGTAGTTTCGGCACGTCCGTGAGGCGCGCTCGTCTGCACCTGCGAAGAGGCTCCAGTGTCGATGAGATGATGGGTCTTTGTCTTCCTTCCGTTGTGCAGCGATGTGGCTAGGTCTGCGGCATCTGTCGCTCCAGCTGAGCCTCACTCTGTCGGCAAGATGGTAGGTTGCAGAGCCGCAGCCTTGACTTGTCATCATTTCGTAGCCTCTGGTGAGGCTCTGCTTTGTGTCAAGGTCTCCGTGACAGGTGATGGATGGGGTGGCGGAACCGGAGGGTCCGAGCCCGGCTGCAGTCAGCTCGGGCTCACACTCCAGCATTGCATCAGGTACGAGGCCACAGTCGTGGACTCCGATGACCTTTCCTTGACGGTTATATACAGAGACGATGACAAGAAATGGAAGGACAGCGTTTCAAATTCCATGCCGCACAGGCTCCTTGTGGACCCTGGCACCTCAGGAGACCCACGTTCTGCGCCAACACTGTGATCTTCTTGATGCCCCTGAGGCTGAGGACCCCCTGAGATTGATATCGCCAGCCTGAAAGGAGAGAGAGAGAGAGAGAGAGAGAGAGAGAGAGAGAGAGCGAGCGAGCATGTCACGCCGACCACTGAACGACAGACAGGGCCGTAGCCCGTGAGCGCAGGGGGGCGAGGGGAACCTCGTTCTCCAAACGGCGTGCAAGCAAGCAAGCAAGAGCATGTCACACTCCCTCAAAGGAAACCCCAAATAATGGGGGGGCCTCTAAAGGCCAGGGGGTTTGACCGCCCCCTATGCCCTGATGAAGAAGAGCATGTTAAGGTAGTGTTCAGGGAACGGGGTCCGTGAGTTTGATACCCTCGGGCCGCATCGAACGGAGGTGTCACATAGTAACCAAGACTTGCAGTGCCCGCTCGCGTGCGGGGGGGAGCGACTGCTCTTCCTTTGGCTGTGTGGAAGAAGAGAGCATGTTATCCTGCAACTGTTTTACACATGCATGATGCGGGCGGCGGGCCGAAAGATTCGACAGTGCAGTTGTGTTGTTGGTATGCCTGGGTTGCGTGCACAGTGACTTGGGTGGTAGCACAGGGGGACGGATCCCTAAACAGTTGCAAGCCCGTGAAACGGCGGGTGTGACTGCCAGAACTGGCTTGAGCCTTAGCTCAGATGAGGCCGGGGGGTTGAGGTTGTTCAGTTCAGGGCATCTGTAGAGGAGATTTTCACAGTGCAGACCTCCTTGCCTCATCGTGTAGCCTTCGAAGAGACTTGAGACAAGCAGGGCGCATTCGTGCGCGGGGAGGGGTGCTGCGCGCCTCTCTTCTGACTGTGTGGAAGAAGATGAAACCCTGCTTTGGACCGCAGCCCTCCGTCCTGGTAGAGAGAGAGAGAGAGAGCGCCCCAGCTGTCACCTGGTAGAGAGAGAGAGAGAGGGTGATACCAGCTGAGCCTCCTGTGTCACCCAGACAAGACTCGGACTGAAGCGTAGCGCGTGAGCGCAGGGTTTCGGGGGTTCTCCCCCGGGCCCNNTGCAAGCAAGCAAGCAAGAGAGAGGGCATGCCACATCCCAAAAGCAAAGCAAAGCAAAAAAGACTCTCAAGCAAAGACACCTGTGGACGGCAGGTGCGCGCTCGCGCGCGGAGGGTTGGGGTTGGACAAGAGAGAGAGGGAGAGAGAGAGAGAGACAGAGAGGACAGTGGCGTAGCGCTAGCGCGCAGGGGAGCTGGGGGTTCCCCATGCCCCCCAAACGCCTTGCAAGCAAGCAAGCAAGACAGAGAGAGAGAGAGAGAACAAGCTTACCCCAAAGCAAAGCAAAGCAAAGAGAACAAGCTTGGAAAATGCGCAACAAGAAGATCCGGCGAAAAGCTTCCCGCCGCAAGGAAACAGACTCTGACAGCCGGGGGAGAGTACTACGACGTGCAGAAGACCGTGCAGACCCCAAAAATATAGCGGGGAGGACAACCTTGCCGCCTGAGAGAAGAGAAGCAAGTGCCTCAGAGGACACCCCACCGGATTAGGGGGATGACGACAACCCTGACTGGGCAAGCCAGAGGAAGACGACGACGGGGATGAGGCAGCAGACAGCCAGTGGCCGTGGGGACCAGAGGGGCGACCTTCTGAAGGGGGACACAGCTCCGGACACATGGCACAAAGACCCAACGAGCCTGCCGGAGAGCCACCAAAGCTGAGACCCAGTCAGCCGGTGGGGGAGCCGCCGTGGCGAAACCCCAGCCCCAGCGGACAGTTCGACAAGTACAAGCACATAGGGGGGGAACGTGCCGAGAAGATCGAGGCTTGATTTGATGACCAGTGAACACCAGGAAAATTCGTTGCCGCAATATCTGTTGGCAGGCTTTGCAAAGGTACCTATGTTCGGTGGACCCCCACGTCCTTGCATACCTTGATAATATTTCATGCTCCTCGTATTGTCTTGTGTTGTATATGCTATCGTGCTTACCAACGACAGCATGCAGAGGGGGAACACACTCCAAGTAGTCAATGTACATGCAGGAAGTTTCCATGTATATCTGTGAAGGCATGAACTTTTTACCTGGGCCATATAGCCGCCTTCGTTCAACCCATGTCATGGGGCGCCATCGCCCTCAATCCCAATTTCTTTTCAACTCGCCTTCAACTAGATAGAATTCAGGGGGGAGGAGGCCTAATTCAATTTCAGTCCAACCGTGGGAACTCAATGTAAACCCTTGTGACGATTCAATTCGGTTTTGTTAACGTTCCTTCTCATGCCTCTGCATGATGCCGCAGGGGGACGACCCCTTCACCAGATTTCGTGCAAATCCCGAGATACCCATGCTCTGAACAACAGGATTCGCTGTGATTGCCCTTCAGTGGTCCTATCCGTTTATGTACTCTACTTGTCTGTAATATTCTGTAATGCTGTTCAGAACAAATGGATCGCATCGCACGACACCAGTTTACAAAACCATGACCGGGAACAGCCCGATAGCATCCTCAATGCCTCCATCTTTTGCCACCATTTATATGCTCTTCCTTCTGTTTCCTTGTTGCTGACATCACACTCTCCGGGGATTTGGCTTTGGTTGTAAGAGCATTTTCACCACTCGCCCCGCAACATACTGGGGCGCTTGAGCGCACGGACAGGGGGAGCAATCTTCCTGCCCACAGCCCTGGCGAGAGAGAGAGAGAGGGAGAACTGCTGCCCCGGCAATGCCCGGGAACCAAGCGTGGAGTAGTCACACAAAGAGGGGTTGGGCACAAGCGCTGAGAACCAGGCGGGGACATGCCCTTTTGCTAAGAGTAATGCGAATGGGAAGGGCCTGGCTCTCCTCTGTGCCGTTCCCCTCACACGCTCACTCCGACTAACAGCACAGGACAGTGGCATAGCGCGTGAGCGCAGGGGAAGGGGGTTTGCCCCCGACCCCAGACGCCTTGCAAGCAAGCAAGCAAGAGAGAGAAACAGAGAGAGAGAGAGAGAGACAAGGTGTGCTTTTTGAAACATTTTCCCAAACCGCCAGCCATCCTAGTTGGTAATGAGATGTGCCTTTTTATTCCGCACCGCCTGCCATCCGTGTTCACAATTACAAGTGGTCGCTTTATCTCGCATCGCTGGGTTAAAATACGCATCGATGAGCGTCCACACTCGGGAAACCGCTTTCAAACAATCACTTCTATTTGCGAACGATCGGATGGTTCCACGTGGAATCGAGCGTCTAGATGGGGAATGCCTGGTTTTGATGTGCTGTCATGCCACCGATGTGCGTCTCGAGAGGGCGCTTGTCGAATCGAATGTCTAGATGGGGAATGGCTGGTTTTGATGTGCTGTCATGCCACTGATCTGCGTCTCGAGCGGGCGCTTGTGGAATCGAGCGTCTAG